ACATACACATGGCAATAAGGTAAAATCATCATATTTATGGACCATTTTGAGCCACACAATAATACCCTCACATGTATCACTTAGTATATTAATATTAAAGTTTTTACTAATAGAGTGCCGTATTAGAAAACCAACTCCACCGGACCCAGTTCTCTCATTACGATGGATAAGTTTACGATTATGACCAACCCATTGATACCCTGTAATATTTAAAAACTTGTTCTCAGTCAAATGTGTTTCATTTCAAAGTCATTGTTTTAAACAAACGTTTCACGTAAAATAAAATAATCACTTTCACAGTTCATACTAAATTCCCGAACATTCCAAAAACCCGGCTTTATACTAACAACGATTGTAACCCTCTCCATGACGACGACCGCCACCGTTAACGCGCCTGTCATTCCGTTCATGTGTCCCACCGTACCTGCCATCACTTCCGTTCCCATTGACCGACGATTGTCACGACGGTCGATGTTGTTATAACGACAGTTAACAGGACGGTTGTTGTTGTTATCTCGACGGCTGTCTAGACGTACTCCGTCGTTACGGTTGTCACGTCGATCATTCCCTCGTGGGCTGCGGCGATCACAATCACGTTCATTCCTTTGGTTACGTGATCACACGTCATCCTTACGAACAATACGAGACCCTCTAAGAACGAGACCATGTTGCTTCAGCGACCCAAGAATGACACGGAAGTAATTAGCCATCGTCCGTTCTGCGTGTGTTTGATCATGACTAAAATAAACGTTCTTAAATTGTCCAGATGATGATAAAGATGTCTTATTTGCCATAACCTTGCGTCTGTCCTCATGTGAACATGGTTAATTTACATTAGAAGATTTCTTACGTTCAGCCTTCGCACAAGAAACATCAGAAATTTTAAGCCCTGCACGTATCAGATTTTAGTGTTTTCATTAGAGGATTCCGAGAGGTCTTTTATCACAACATTCAAAGACAAATCAGGTTGTACTGAAACTGAATGCCCCCCCCCCCCCCCCCTGGAAATACTCTGAATCTTACATTTCATTTCGGACAATTCATCAGCAAGATCCGTCTTTAGATCTTCTCTCAAAGAAACAATGTCAGTTTCCACTTTTCTGCTAATTTTTGTCAACTCAGAATGATTTCATAGAAACTTGTCTGGTGGTTTCAAACTTTTTTTTTCTGAGCTCTGTCTCTATTATCTGGATTTTCAATGGTGATGTTTTCTGACCAATCAAATACTTAAGATTTGAGTCTGACCTTAGATAAACTCTTTACAACCTTCGACCCAGGTTACATATTGGTCAACATATAAAAGATGTCAAGTCAAACGTTGCATATTGATCAACATATAAACAATGAAATTTAGCATACACACATTTTATTTTCAATGCAAGTGAGTAGATTAGGATAAAGTGTATATAAATAAAGTGAATTAGATAAGTTTTTTATGTCCCTAAATGTATGTTTATGATAAGATAAGTGATAAAACATGTACCAGTACTCAACCTCTAATAATTATACAAAATATAGTCGGTTTGGCATCAAATTTATCTATTAGATGGTTAACAGTCAAATATACATGTATTATATCTTTACAAAACTTCCATAATTGATGTATCAAAAGACACAACCATCATTATATTTTGGCCTGAGAAGGAAGGCATATACATTTGTATTTTAAAATTCCATCGACTTTTTGTCCAGTCCTTATCTTTGGCATTCATTGATGAATTTAAAACAATTTTGCATAGTTGTGATAATGTGTCACATGCAAGGTCCATGTCTGTAGCTCGAAGATCAAAGTCACTTGATCCTAGAAAAAATTCCAATGAAGTGCATTGATGATTGTGTCCTGTGAACAATTATGTCTGAATAGATTTTAGAATTTATTGGCAGGAACATTAAACATGATGATGTTGTTTTGCCCAAGACAGGGGTTTCTCTCTCTGTTTTTAAGGAAAATAGTACCTGTACATGTAGGAATGGGAATTTTTGTGCTGTTTTCCTTTGTAGTAGGAACTTCAGGCAACTTTTGCTGCACATTCACACATAAGTATCAATACTAATGTGGTTATCTTTTGGAGAAAAAAAAAACAAATTTAAATGGGATAATGTTGAAGGTGACCTGCTTTTGTAGATATTGGCTTGTAAAATTTAAAAAAAAAGGAAAGAAAAAAAGTCCTTTTTGTTTGTCCAAAGTCATATGAAATTGTCATGGAAGTGCATTGATAGTAGTGTTTCCTAGATTAATTTGAAAATAACTTGGCAAAAATTGACTGCACATGATGGCAATGTGTCACATGCAAGAATCAGGTCTCCAAGTCACTTTTGTCAAAACTTTTTACTTCACTTGGTATGCATTTTGAAAGAATTACACATAAATTCACAAGGAGCATTAAATATTGCATGTGGTAATATAGGGTGGACACCTGCTTGTTGTGATTTTGTTACAAATCTGTGTTCGCTAATTGGTCTAGACTTAATAATTTTAATAATAAGAATCAGTCAATAAAATATTTGCAATTACATTGAATATATATCCAAATCATAGATGTAGAAAACATTTAACACTACGATATGTTATTAATATTTCAATATTGAAGTACGGTCTTATAGAGTTGATGCATTTAGTAACATGCTACCTGGAATTCTTGAAAATTTGAGGAGGGATATTAACGGTAAAGCAGTATAGAATGGGTTAAGAACATACAGGCTCAGATTATGTTAAACATAATTTTGTTCCTGCAATATATTGTACATCAGTCTTTAATTTATCAAACATGAGATATTTGGGCCAAATTTTTGAGACAATTTTCAAAAGTGATCCCACCAAAAACAATTGTTTTTTTTTTTTAAAAAGGTAAAAATTTAGGGTTTTTCATAGGGTAGAACCCTTTTTAAATTTTAAATTGAAAGAAATTCTGTTAAAGAAAAAAAAAAATGTCTTAAAAAATTTTTTTAAATTGGGTTAGTTTTATGGGGCAGAATTAAATGCAAAAGTTTAAAAATTTAAATGTAAACATGAAAACTAAAAATGTTTTGGGGGGGGTTTTTTTTTTTAAGCTCGAGTACAAATTCGATAAGAATAAGTAGAACTTTTTTTGTATTTAAACCCCGTCGGCGTCGGGTCTCCCGTCGGCGAAACCACCTTAAAAATTTTAAAGTTTTTTGGAAATACCTCAAAAATTTTTTAAAAACTTTAAAAATTTTTGCACACTTTTCACCATCATGAACCCCAACCTGAAGAAAAGGAGGAGGAAAAACTTTTATCAAGCATTTTGACAGAATTATGCCCCTTTTTCGACTAAGAATCTACGTTAAAGTTTTTGTAATACCTCAAATATTTTAAAAGTCCATTGTTTGCATACCACCTCAGACATTTTATATTCTATTGACATCTGGCTTTGAAACAAGTTGAAATTTTACACTCTTCTTTGAGAGCATAATAGGACTCTCTTCAAGGCCTATAACTGTAACATGGATTTTGTTAACTTAGAAAATTTTACATTATCAAGGCTTTTTTTCACTATCAAGCACTAAGAATAGTCGAGCGTTGCTGTCCTACCGACAGCTCTTGTTTCAAATACAGACACTTTATTTTGAGTGTTGAACTCTGTTTTAATATTTTCACTAGCAGAACTATTCTTTGTTATTCATCCTGAAATTTTTATCTTCAAATTCAAATATGTATGACAACGTTACATGGTTTTGAAATTAAAAAAACCTATGATCTTCAAACAATTAGCGTTAATTTTCAATTAGTTTCCACGTGTTGATTGCAAATCTGAGTTCAACACTTTTTTTTTTTAATCTTAATGAACATTTTTCTGTCAGATATATAAAAGTGTAACAAATCTGTTACATATCTGTGTTATTAGTATTCTTTGTTTCTTTTCGAAAGAGGTACATGACTGCATTAACTATGAAAGTGAGCTTCCGTATCGTTAAAAGTGAATCACTAAGTATGACTATTTGATAAAACCAAGCTATTATACGGCTTTCGATTGATTTAATGTAAAAGTACAAGCAGATTTTATTGTTGGAAAGTGAAAAATAATATCAAAACAAAAACGAATAATACAGTTTTCATTCATAGTTGACAAATTACAATGGGCTTCTAATTTCGAACTAGTATGACATATAGATTATGAATATAAGTGAGTAAAAAATGTTGAAATAAATGAAGCATACAGCTGGCCATATGATAATTACTTTCATAAACAAGAAGACAAACTAAGTTTTACACTGCGACAATTTAGCAATGAAGTGAATCAAAATGAGTTGTTTTTTCAGCAGCATTTTTATCGTAACGGTAAACGGGGGGTATTTTCTTTATTACAAATATGGCAAAAAACAGCTTGAGGTACTCTTTGAGAAGTTAAACGTGAACCTTTCACGAATTGTTTATATACAAGACACCATGTATAACATCTTCTTGTTCATCTTCACCACATATGCTTCAGTAATATCTGATGTAGATAAGCACATATTCATATGAAAAATCTAAATTCAAAAGTTCTTCACATACTAGTATGTACATGTACACGTTTTTGCAATGTTTTACCAGAACGAGCATTTACAAAATACGACAGGAACCATTCAAGCGATGATAAATCTACAATTTTAAGCCATATATCTTAGTCATGGTGTGCTCCCCTGTCCCGTTTATTATCGGTTGTCCTTTATAGATATATGAATCATATGGCATTGTTAGCAAAGTTTGAAAAGTTTTGCTTTTCGTATATCCTCTGGGAGAAGTTTTTTGAGGTTCCTTCACCTTTGATTAGCTTTAAATCCAAGTTCCCTGCTCATTAGCAACTGCGGCCGCAAGGAGGCGCCCTCCTAATCCCATTTCGTCTGGTAATTTTTGTTGGAACACCTAATGCAAAAGAAATGGATTGCTTCATCGCAGTCGTATTTTTTCAAAGAAGTTTACTTCAGAGTCTTTGTGGTAAGAAAGGTAAAAAGTCCTTTCAAAGGCTCATACTCCAAACTTTGAAAATCAGGCGGGTGGATCCGATTTTTCTCATGATACCAATTATTCTTATTCCCATTAACTCGTTTGTGTCTTTAGCGATCATGCATATTGAAACGTTTTGAATGAGATTTTCGTATGTAGTTTTCCTAAAGTCGTCATTCCATTTGACTCCAAATGACCGGCATAAAGGTTCGTCAGGAGTGAACTGATTTGCCATGATTTCAAAAGTTTCTTCATAGCGATCGCTTGTTATAATTGCAAGGCGTCCATTATCCATCTCATAATCTTTCTTTATTTTGTCTAAAGCCTGAAATTTAAAACCATTAAATTGTATTTGATTGAACAAACATTAAGATTACTGAACGTGATTTTTATACAAATAGGATTAAATGTTTACATGACACAGAATATATAGACACATTAAAAATCGCAAATCTATTGCATTTAAATTTACAAAAAAATAAATAAATAAAAATAAATAAAGAAATAATTCTTATCTATTTAGTTTTTCCAGAATTCATTTTAGTTCGATTGTGCAGGAATCTATAAGCTTTATTCCTGTAACCAACAAGTAGTAAGCAATGAATTGCTCAAGGAAACAATGGCTTGCCTCTGACGAGATCTGCCTTAACTCAGCCATCAATCCTTGGATTCATTATATGGGCACACTTTGTAGTTTATTTATATATTTATATTTAAAATACATGCATGTTTCATTGTTTTCTACAAACAAACTTTCAAATAGAAAGATTATTGTTTACCTTTACAGCTTGATCTAAAGATATATCGCAAGGAGTACCCATGTTAGAACACAAGTCTGTAAGAACAAATAAACTGTTATTCAAAAAATATCCAAAGTTCTTATTCATTGAAAAAATATAATAAATCATTAAAAGATACCGTTGTCTAAACATCTCAACCATGCTAAACAAATTATTGTTTAATGTTATCATTTCTTTAAAAACAATCAAATAAAGAAACAAATATCAAACCCATTTTAAATCAAGTTCAAATTGTAAGCCTACTAATGATACCTGTTAAACTTATTTCTTATATTAGTCAATTAATACAACAGTTCGACGACATTTACAATGTTAATACATAAACAATGTGTAAGAAGGCTAAGTATAGTATAAGTAACGGTCAAATAGAGAAAAACAAAATCCCTAAAAAAAGTCCAACACGGCAAACTTGAAAATGTTGCAGGCTCGGTTTGATTGAGCCTGTTTATGGACGATACTGGAAAGTGCAAGTTACCGTCCACGCCCCCTAGCATCGACATAAGCAGAATTCATCATTTAAACACTAAAATGGTGAAATTTTGAATTTAGAAACATCCATAAAGTCGTCATATTTGAACACGAACGAAACATTTTAACTTTTGGTTTGTCCACTAAGTCAATACGGTGATTTATATTGTGGTACAAAAGATGTAACTCTGTGAATGGCTTCAGACATGAGAGAGCATAGATGCTAGAGAAAACAACAACCTTAAAAACGAACATTTACTAAAACCAATAAGCCATTTTTAATCTCGTACAATGGTTTTTTATGTCAGCAGCAGGCAATATCGATTTGTCCTTAAGTAGCTGTTTTCTGCTCAATATACTACTGTTAGGCTTAAAAATGGTTGCATTGATTTTAGCGAAATCACATGTTTGATTGTATAACAGGCCTTTATAATAAATATACTATATTTGCTTAAATAAAAGCTGTCCCTTAAATGTTTTATCAACAGACAAACGCCCTATCAAATTCTAACTTTTTATTGATATATACGATATTTATCTTTATCATTTTCAAAAAAAGTTATATCGTGGAGATTTAATATCAAATTTGTAACGGTTTTAAGATGATTATTCTAACTCGTTTTTATCGCATATCAGTTAACCCGGTATTTGATAATATCACACAAGAGACATTCTTTCATTATGCTTTGATTGTCATCATCTCCGGTTTAATTGGGATATACATGTGTCGAAAATTGTAATTTTAGAATCATGTATTTTTAGACTAGCAAGACATTATTTTATTTGTATGCATTTCTATGTAACACGAAAACCTTTTAATACATATTGCAATTTTCTTCCTGTTATAAAAAAGAAACAAAGGCGAAATGTAAACTAATCAGATATTTCTACAACATACCTTTGGAATATGGAATATATCGTACAATGTTTTGTTGACTATAATTTTGTTTGTTTGTTTGTTTGGATTTTCACGGCACGTCAACACATAACTGGCCATATCGTGCCGAATGCTATTAAAGGCTTAAAATGTTATGTAAAACTTTGTTAATGACAATAGAAATGAACCAATTAGATCCTAGAATACAAGTTTATTTCTTTCAAATAATCAATTATGTTTTTTGATGGAATTGTATTAAAAAGTTCTTTGAGTGAATTTACAGAATAAAATCTATTACGGGCCTGTGAAAAATCATGACATTCAAAACAGTAAAATTTGCATTACAACCTACACAGAAAGGGGCATTGTCATTTGTAAGGAGATAAGAGTGGGTAATTTTAGTGTGTCCAATTCGGCATCGAAGAAGAACTGTTTGATCACGGCGGTTCGACAGAGATAGAGATGGTGACACATCAAATGTGCATTTACTGGTAGCTGTAGATATGTTTGATAACTTACGTGTAAATTTAAAACTTAAATTATGAACATCCTAATGTATTATATCCGCTCAATTAGGCGAGAATTACTGTTAACTGCACTGAAAGTTTAAACCACAGAACGGTCAACATTTTTTCCTTTTTTTTTAAAACATTATTTCAGTATCTCTCATATATCTTTTGGAAAGAAAAACATGTTTAATTTTAATTATATAATTAATAAAAGTATTTACTGGCGAAATAATGTTAAATCTTGTAACAAATATGGTACCTGATATTTTAAAAGTCTAATAAAATAAAAATTGGAGATAAAAGTATTTTATAATTTACAAGATCTACCATTATACTATTGTGAAAATTTAGGGAAACTTTGAAAACAGCCCGTTATTTTGGTAAATTTTGGGGTTTTTTTTATAAGGCTTTCTAAGTAGGAAATTGGTAAAAAACAAGTGTTAAAACGGGTGGGATAGGGTTACAATTTTATAGATATTTTATAAATTTTGAGTATAAACAATCATTTGATCGCGTGAATGGTTAGCTCAATGTTATTTTTTGTTTTTAACAATAGTTAATGAGAACACATTTTTTTCATAAGGATGATATTGTAGATCATCTAAATGGTCCTTATTTCTGAAAAAAAGGCTGTTCAAACACCCAAGCTTAAGATCAGAAAAGTGGTCATAACTCTTTTACCTACTACACAAACTATTCAATCTTCAATTAGTTTGTGTAGTAGATAATTATTTACTGTTTCCAGAATGATTTTAAAAAATTTTTTACCGTACGTTAAGTTTGTTTAAATTTTGCATGCAGCTGTCTTTTAAGGCACATATCTGACCTATGTTGTCAAATTTTCAGTTCCTTATAGTGCCCGTTAGGGTGATCATACCTTTAACGACAATTCAAAATGATTATACATGTATCAGAATGAAATTGCTTTGATTCTTCACGTAGTGTTTAGGAAACAACATCGATATTTTTATATTCTCACACTGTATGATGATTCATAGAGATTGCATACATGATATTATTTGATTTACTATCAATTACTGACTACTCATTTCTGCCGTTAGCTTGCATTCGAAATGCAGTTAATGGAAGGCATGTTTCTATATAACATAGTCCATGCCCACAGTATTCAAATTTCATAGGATGATTGTCCATATTGTGTAGAAGGCCTCTATTGATTTTGGGGTCACAAGGTCAAGGTCACTTTTACCTTAAAACTGAAAACAATTTCCGCTCAATAACTTAAGTATATATCAACCTACAGCTAAAGTTCCATTAGGCTTACAGTGTTCAAACTTTATAGGATGATTGCCTATATGGAATAAAAGATCCAGTCATATCTAAATTGGGGTCACAAGATCAAAGGACAATATTAAATGACCTTAATATTGTTAACAGTTTTACAACTGTCAAACTTCATAGGATGATCCCTTATATTGAATACATTAATTATATGCCATAAAACATTTGCTTATATTATGTTATACCCCTGACGTCTTTCCGTCCATCCGTCCTAGCATTTTTACTTACAAGATAACAACTTGATGGTGGTGCTTTGAAAACAGGAACTGTATTTATATGATGGTTCTTCAGTCATAAAGGAGGATTGCTTTTAGAAGGAGGTAATACAGTATTTAATTCCTATGTCTTACAAATGCTTCATCCTTACTAAAAAAAAAAAAAAAAAAAAAAAAACCACTTTCGGGCATATAATGCTCCTCCTAGCGGTGCTCTTGTTACTGTATGTTACACACTTTGTATGGTTACATATATATTTATATAATAATAATATTAATAATAATAATAATAATAATTGAACGATTATTTGGTTTTTCTATATAAAAAAGCTCTTTAAGATATGAGGGCGAAACCTGGGTGTTAGATGAGTTGCCGACTTTCTGTAATTTTTCGCATGAAATATCTTTTACTAAAGTCGTGGGAGCATATGTATGCCTATTTTATTATATCATCAGACTAAATATCCGTTTTGGTCTTTAAGATGCTATAGATTGTGAAGTAAAATCTACATAAAATCACATACTCGACTGTGATATTTAAATAAATAACCATAGAAATGATAAGATTAACAATTGTGTATTCTGCGCGTGTTTGCTGACTGGCAATGTAAAGCAGGATGCCTCAAGAATTTTGCTAATTTTCAGGACAATTTTGAAAATTTATTTGAATTAAAATATTGTGAAGTGAACAAAGAAAATAATTAACATATTGCAAACGGCACTTAAAATCGACGTAAATTACCGAACAGAGGACACGATAGGCAAAAATAGCCCTTACTGCGCAAATGAGGCAGTGGAAATACAGTGTTAAATACTGCAAACTCAGTCAGTAATCTCACATAACATGTACATTATTATTTGAATCTTAACTCCTTTTACTTTTTCTTAAATTCTCATTACATTTTCTCCAGTTTAATATATAGAAATACTTTGGCTCATATTGAGGCATGCAGCTTTAATATAAAATATGTTAGCTTCGTCAACCTCACTGGCACCGCTTTACTTAGGAAGGATTAACAATAAGACATCTTTACAGATCAGTTTATGCATATATGCAGTGTTGTTCAATAGTCGATATACTTGAGGACAATGCAAGCTTTAATAAGTTTTATTATACCTCAATATATTCTTCATTGTAAGACACCCATAGACCTATTATGTGTTCTGATTGAATATAACCCTCCTAGGATATATTCCTCTGGGAATATTTCTTATATTCTTGCATAACTCCATATTCAGCAAATTATACATTTATATTATGTCTTTACTGTATGTACAAATGTATAAAATTATTCTTGAACTGGTTTGTTTTGAGCGAAATTAAATTGTGAAATGACGACGTGTATTTATTATATACTAATAAATGAAATATTGAGAAATATTGATGAAATAAAATGCATATTTTCATTTTCCGTATTTTCACTGTAAAAATTTATTTTTCACTGCAGTGAAACATATTTTCCGTATTTTCACTGGTGTCTCGCCGGACTACTTTCTTTTAAATTCTGCCAGTACACAAAATTTAAGGGAAAGTCCTTCAAATTTTATTGCAAAAAAAGAGAAAAATGTATATAATAAACAGAAAATTCAAGTTTTTTCTATAAATACATGATTTATTTTCATCTTGTGGCATGAAAATTACCATATTTCACTCGTGGCTACCGCCACTCATGAAATATTTATTTTCATACCACTCGATGAAAATAAATCATGTATTTATAGAAAAAACTTGAATATCCTCTATTTATTTATTTCATTGATCGCGTACTTGATAAATATCGTAGTTGTACGTCTTACGGTTTAATTAAATAAATAACACATGACTGTCGGGGTGATAGAGGATGTTGCCAACCCTTGAACTGGCATATAACTAGTTCAAGTGTTGACAATATCATCTATCACCCCGACAGCTATGATCTATTTATATAATATTACATAGATATCTTATATTTCTCATATTTTTAAATTATGTTGCAAATATCCAATGTCTACTCATGACAAAACAAAACCATAAACAAAAATGCATTTTAAAACTATTAGCAGACATACGGTTCAAAATGAATCAAATAATTATCAGGAAATGTGTGCAACAGATATCGATATAAATTTGAATTTAAGTTAACAAAATCATTTAGACTGAATGCCGCACAAGTAGCTTTATTTATTGTGCCAGTTTCCGATATAGCTTACATTCATTGGAACAAAACAAACTTACAGAACGTATTTTTATGCCCCCTGCAGCTACATATCGATCTGTTGATGACAGTTTATTTCCTTAATACTCCAGTTAGAGCAGACTTTTCCTAGAGTAACATTGATGAGATGTTATAGAGTTAATGTACTCGTTCCATTTAAGATAGCTCTCTAGCACTCTTGCTAAACTTATAACTTATTGATATTGTACAGAATATTTGATAATCAGTTAAAACGAATCTGACAGATGACATAATAACTACACACAGAATGTGTTCTACACTGTCAACTATTTTCAATACCATTATTTTTCTACTTGTTTTTCACAACCCTGTATTAACGAGTCCTATAACAATATATGTCACTTACTCAGTCGTCAAAATCTGGTGACAAAATAATTAGAGGTCTTGCTCAGATTTGAAGTCACTTTTATTCAGGTCAAAAGTAATGCAACATATTGACTTGGAGACTACTATAAACCCTATTCACTTCACGTTTTTTTATTTGCACCATACATATAAAAGGTCGACTATGCCAGATATGCTACAATAAACAAAATTCTATAAACTTAGCACACAATTTAACTTATAACACTTATTAATTTTCACACAATACATAACTAAAACGCTTAATGTAGTTTATACATATATATATATTTACAGCTAAATTGATACTAAAATTGAATAAGTATAATTAACTCATACCTTTATATTCGTGTCTACCAATATCCAAGATACTGATAAAAACAGCTTAACTTTTAAGATATACCTTCTCTACACAACAGCTCTTTATGAACTGGTCATATTCCGGTTTTACGCTGAGCTCATAAAAATTTACTACAGGAGTATTTCTGCATCGATTTTTACGTGTCTAGAATTCCCTGTAATTGAATCACGATATGTTCTGAGATTATTCCGCTTGGTCGTGCTTGTTTTGACTGGATATCTACCATGTCAAAGTATCGATGCTTCAAACAGTATGTACTAAATACCCGGAAATAATCGTCTATCACGGATCAATATTCAGAGAGAATCTCTTGCTTGGAATATCTGCACATATTTATCTTTATTTTTTTTTGTCTCCTGATCCAGTAAAGCAGGAATGTGAAAATAGCGCATCATTTGTGAAAAAGTAACGCCGAATCTGTGTAAAACTGAAACGTGGCTGAAACGTGTAACACAGTAAGTAAAAGGGTCAAAATATCTTATAGTAAACCAAATTAAAATAAATGAGTAAGTGCATACGTCTGTTTGCTCATGATACATTAATCATCATTATAAATATTTCCAGGGATTTCATTACTATTAAGATAATTCGTGAGAATAACGACCTGATAACCATTTTGAAGACGACATTTGTGTTTCGTCGATATTAATCAGTACAAAACCCCATTCAAAACTTTATTGTCTTTATATTTGGTATACCATAGACAGTTGCAAAACTACTAAAGACATATTTTGCTTTAAGGAAGCAGGTAAGATATGACTCAGATATTTTTTATGAAGTAAACAGAGTTTCTTCTGTGCATCATTCATGGAATCGGCGTTACCTCGTGAAATGGTCTCAGTCATATATTTTCAAAACAATAAGGTCACTTTCAATTTGCTAATCATACAATATGTTAAACGAGATTTTTAACATAATTTCTCAGCAACAGTATACGATAATTTACTTCTTTTAATTTGATTTACGATAAAAGATACAAGTCTAATTATTTAGCGGGGTGGTCGTTTCGGCCGTAGCATTGCACAATTCTGCATTACGATTGCACAATTCATACTTTATTTTCACATGCCTGCGTTACTGGATATACACGGTGTGACAACAGAATAAACAATATAAGGTATTTATTAAAGTTTCTTAAAAAAATTCCTAAACAATTTCATTTACAATTCTGCCCTGCCTTAATATAAAGAATATGCCAGCTGTGAGCAAAATAAAATATTGTTTCAAGCGGAAAATTATCTTTCTAGCCCGATATTGTCAGTTGATTATTTATTATCATACGACCTAAGAGGACACTCCATAACAATACATTATCTTCCTATATGGAGTTATAGTACAACATTGTTCAAAACTAAAAGAAAAAAATTATACATTTGCATTTAATAGTAGATAAATAATCTCGCTTTTGAAACAAGTTTTCTCAACACATGATAAGTTCATATCTATTTCATTCAATACAAAGTAATACAAAAAATGTATAAGGCAGTTATGCAAGAGATGTTATTACTATAAGAATTGCATATATATGTATTTTTGCTACTTATGTCATCTTTGGATTAAAAGGCAAATCACGAGCTGGTGGTGGCATGATACAACTTCATGCAACATTTTATTTAGGACGATATGTCCAAGATCCCTAATATTCTTTTTTTTTTTCAAAATAAATGACATGAGCACATCCTGATATAAATACGTTTAAAAACAGCAACGAGCAAATTAGTTTCTCAGTTTTGCATTTCAAAAGAAAGACTGAAACTCATCTGTTGTTTTTTATCCTTTACTTGAAAATATTTGCCTAGAACAACCTAAATGGATAAGCATTTAAAGAATGGAATATATTTCACGTCTTAACATAAATATATTAATTAATAACAACTTAAAGAGTTTGTGTATAGACAAATAATAAACAACAGATTTTAACAATTAAGATTTTTTTATTGAATAACACAACAGCATAGACATTAATATTATAAAAACAAATTTATTGATATAATTCCATATATATGTAAGAAAACATATGCAAATTCGTTTTGACTAGATTTTTCTCCAAATGTTACAATACATCTAAAATCACATGACTACAACAACAACAACAACAACGATAACAATGTGAGATAAATATTGACATAATATTGCGATAAATTTGTTCAAAATGAAAAAAAAACAACGAGTAGTGATTCTTAAAGATTCATTAAATTATACCCAAACAATGATAATATTTTCATTTTTTAAAAACTCTTTTTGGCGTCCTGTTAACAGTTTTCAATAACAAAAGGTTCATCATAAAGTTGAACCAGTGTTTGCTTTTTTGCATTTAAAACTTCAGTACATCTAAAGTAATTACAGTATTTTATAGTTTTTTTTACAAATATATTGATACAGAAGTCAAAATATAAAGTTGTATACATTTAGCTACTTTTATGACAAATTATTTCATATTCAACGCTTTTTTACTGGTGATGATCACCAAACATGCTCTTAATCAATTATTAAATTGTATAAAATACATGTTTCTCTTTCTAAAAAAAACAGGTACGTACCTTTGTAAGTAAATATTTGACATTAGGCACTTATATAATACAATACTCTAAAAAAACAATAATCTTGCACTCAAACACTATATTATATGTTTTAATATCTGTGTTTTTGCCTAAAACAAATAATTGACAATTTGATTTTGTTATTTTATAATGTAGATATGATGAACAACTAGATCTTCTCATCTCTCATCATATAACTGCAACTCCCTCGTGTAGGAAGGATTAAAAAACCCATCTCCTTCACCAACTTTTATTTTACCAATCCTGAAAAACAAATTAAAGTCATGTCCTTTTTTTAAGGGAAATTTCATTCACTTATGCAAATTAAACTGAAATTTTGTGATCACAACTAAACAGAAATTACAGCTCAAATTCGCTATTCCTTTCATTATCTGTTTACATCAATATTGACAAATACGGGTGTCGATAATTCTTATACAAAAGCATATTATTTATCGCCTAAATCTTTAATCACCAAAATAATTACTCATTTTTAACAGTTCAGCGTATTAGCGTAGTGGTTGAGCGTTGGCTTATCTCAGTGTAAAGACCCTCGTTCGATTCCTGGAAAGGGCATTTTTTCTTTTCTTATATTTTTTGTTGTTTTTTTTACATTTTTTTTCAAAGATCTGGATTTTAGTTCCTCGTGAATTTAGTTCATACAATACTACCGGTATTTGAGAACATTTAGTTTTACAAACATTCGCTTCCGACATGTTAAGTTAGAGGCAACCCGCACAGTCGTGATTAGAGTGATGCTTGAGGATTGGAAGATATTTGAATAGATAAATATACAATTGAGCCGAAATTGTAAAAAATGTAGCAAATTGAATTCAGAGTTTTAGATAGCATTAAATTGACAATACTATTCAATCTGTTCAATGACTGTTTAAATCAAATACATTCAATTTTGCTATTTAACCGTTGAAAGTTTAACTTAAAATTGTACAAAATTATAGATCAAAGGTTTATAAGAGAATATGAAAATGTTTTTTGAAAGTAAAAAACATACAAACATAAAAATTTTGCACAATTGCAGATTTGAACTCGGAAAAAAATCTAAACTTTCTCCTCATAATCTGAACTCTCTAACCACTACGATACTCAGTTTTACGTTTCCATATCCACTTTTATTCTTCTATATCGCAATAAAATGCAAAGTGTAAATAACTGAATAACTTGCACAACCCATTATATCATAATGGTATGACCGATTAATGCAAACGTTATCGTGTTCGACTTATACACCCACATAACATTAAAAAATAAATGAGACACCATTCGAGAAAAATATTCATACTGGAAAGAAAAATAAAAAACAGAAAATCAACACATAAAACAGGTACCTGTAATATGTTATAAAACACAAAAACCAACGTAAATTTGGTTTGAACCTGCCCTTTATAGAATGATTTGGGATAACAAACCTATATTTATAAATTCCTAGAGCGATAAGAATTAATACAAACCTATATTTATAAATTCCTAGAGCAACAAGAATTAATACAAACCTATATTTATAAAGTCCTAGAGCAACAAGAATTAATACAAACCTATATTTATAAATTCCAAGAGCAACAAGAATTAATACAAACCTATATTTATAAATTCCTAGAGAGCAACAAGAATTAATACAAACCTATATTTATAAATTCCTAGAGCAACAAGAATTAATACAAACCTATATTTATAAATTCCAAGAGCAACAAGAATTAATACAAACCTATATTTATAAATTCCTAGAGCAACAAGAATTAATACAAACCTATATTTATAAATTCCTAGAGCAACAAGAATTAATACAAACCTATATTTATAAATTCCTAGAGCAACAAGAATTAATACAAACCTATATTTATAAATTCCTAGAGCAACAAGAATTAATACAAACCTATATTTATAAATTCCTATATTTTATAAGAAAGGGCATTTTTTCTTTTCTTATATTTTTTGTTGTTTTTTTTTTTACATTTTTTTCAAAGATCTGGATTTTAGTTCCTCGTGAATTTAGTTCATACAATACTACCGGTATTTGAGAACATTTAGTTTTACAAACATTCGCTTCCGACATGTTAAGTTAGAGGCAACCCGCACAGCCGTAATTAGAGTGATAAATGAGGATTGGAAGATATTTGAATATTTAAATATACAATTGAGCCGAAATTGTAAAAAATGTAGCAAATTGAATTCAGAGTTTTAGATAGCATTAAATTGACAATACTATTCAATCTGTTCAATGACTGTTTAAATCAAATACATTCAATTTTGCTATTTAACCGTTGTAAGTTTAACTTAAAATTGTACAAAATTATAGATCACAGGTTTATAAGAGAATATGAAAACGTTTTTTGAAAGTAAAAAACATACAAACATAAAAATATTGCACAATTGCAGATTTTAACTCGGAAAAAAATCTAAACTTTCTCCTCATAATCTGAACTCTCTAACCACTACGCTACTCAGTTTTACGTTTCCATATCCACTTTTATTCTTCTATATTGCAATAAAATGCAAAGTGTAAATAACTGAATAACTTGCACAACCCATTATATCATAATGGTATGACCGATTAATGCAAACGTTATCGTGTTCGACTTATACACCCACATAACATTAAAAAATAAATGAGACACCATTCGAGAAAAATATTTCATACTGGAAAGAAAAATAAAAAACAGAAAATCAACACATAAAACAGGTACCTGTAATATGTTATAAAACACAAAAACCAACGTAAATTTGGTTTGAACCTGCCCTTTATAGAATGATTTGGGATAACAAACCTATATTTATAAATTCCTAGAGCGATAAGAATTAATACAAACCTATATTTATAAATTCCTAGAGCAACAAGAATTAATACAAACCTATATTTATAAATTCCTAGAGCAACAAGAATTAATACAAACCTATATTTATAAATTCCAAGAGCAACAAGAATTAATACAAACCTATATTTATAAATTCCAAGAGCAACAAGAATTAATACAAACCTATATTTATAAATTCCAAGAGCAACAAGAATTAATACAAACCTATATTTATAAATTCCTAGAGCAACAAGAATTAATACAAACCTATATTTATAAAGTCCTAGAGCAACAAGAATTAATACAAACCTATATTTATAAATTCCAAGAGCAACAAGAATTAATACAAACCTATATTTATAAATTCCTAGAGCAACAAGAATTAATACAAACCTATATTTATAAATTCCTAGAGCAACAAGAATTAATACAAACCTATATTTATAAATTCCAAGAGCAACAAGAATTAATACAAACCTATATTTATAAATTCCTAGAGCAACAAGAATTAATACAAACCTATATTTATAAATTCTTAGAGCAACAAGAATTAATACAAACCTATGTTTATAAATTCCAAGAGCAACAATAATTAATACAACAACAAGGAACGCAGCTCCACACCCGGCAACGATAGGTATATGTCCAGGCAACCAACTCTGTAATGATCAGCATAATATAAGTGTTAAAAATAATGATATTAATGATACAATACTGTTAACAAGAATGATATTGATTATAAAATATATTAGTGTTAACAATAATGGTGTTAATTGAATGACTGGTTTTTTACGTGAATTCTGACCATTTAAGACTTATTAAATATCTACTGGTTATGCGAATGACAATGTGAACAGATATTTAATAGAACTAAAAGAATTCAAGTTTAATGATTTTCTAACCTGAGTTGTTGGTTTCTTGGAATATTTGTATTCAGATGTAGATTTCGCTGATACTGGTGAAACAGAACTAGTTTTGTATGATGAGTCGACATCTTGTACATTAATTAAAGGAGACGGAAATAAATGAGGTAATGTGTCATTGGACACGAGATTGAGAGCGTCTTTGATTTGATCTGTCGTTACAGAGTGTCCATTACACTGTGCTTTGAACTGAAAGTTATTTGCCCTGGAAAGAACAACAATATGTAACATTGATAATATATGATGATTGATTACAATACAATTCAATAGCTACATTTGAAAATTCTGTGAAATTAATGTTAAACGCGGTCAAATAAAAAGTTAGAGGGCGTGAAATATAAAATAAGCACTTAATAAAACTTGTTACAATATGTTTTCTTTTCGGTATTGAAAAATTTCACTGACTCAAAATATCGTCTGTTTTGGATGATACTGGATCATTCTTAAAGTCAAGTATAAAATGTACTGAAAGTAATTTTAATTAATGGAGCCATTCCGACATGATATTATTAAAACTGTCCTCGAAGTCTAGTGTATAAGATATAGATATCAGTTGACATTTTCAAAATAAATATAATATTGGTATGAAAGTTTCTGATGATTTTATAGGCTCGATGCCTTGTAACTCAATTGAAATTTTCTTCTATGACGTTAAAATATTAAGCATTCAGTTACCTTTAAGTATTAAATGTTCTTAAACAAACGATAGAAGAAGTTATTTTTATGTTTTATCATATATACAAAGAAGAAAAAGAAAGAGAATCTACTTACTGAACAGATTGTAGATGGAAATGAATATCTGAACTGTTGAAAATATAGTCCTCTAAAAACTTGTACACGAAAGTAACAGAAGGTTGAACTAAATCTTTTGATATATTTTTCTGGAACACAAAATTCACTAGCTCCCCTGAAAATTGAAAGGCAAATAATTTACCGGTATAAACAGAATCTTCTTCCTTTCTTGTTTGAAAGACAATAAGAAGTTGATTTTAATAATGATAATAAATGAAGCATAAATAAATACAAGTATGAACAGGAATCGTGTTTTAAACCTTATTCCTTAACTATTATACATATGTTTGCATTTAAAAAAGATTAACCAATAATATACTTCACCTGCGAGGGATTTGATATTTTTTACTTCACATGTCATTCCGATCCACCCAGTTTGACATCCGCAGTTAAAACTTCCAGGAGTATTTTGACATATACCGCTGTTTTTACATACATGGTCTAAACATTCGTTTACATCAGTCTCACATATATTTCCGGTCCAACCACCGTAACACCTACAATAAAAGGACCCATCAATATTTTCACATATTCCAGAATTCAAACAAGGCATTATAGTTTCACACTCGTCCACATCTTGTTCACATAAAATTCCTGTCCATCCTTTCGCGCATGCACATTTTGATTCTGAATTTTTCACAATACAAGTACCATTATTTCTGCACTTCAAGCTTTGGCAAACATTTATAAATATTGAGCAATCATTCCCTGAAAATCCTGGAAAACATGAACATTTGTAGCTTCCTGGTAAATTTGTACATATACCATTTCCAGAACAAGGCATATCAAGAGTTGAGCACTCATCTATGTCTTGAAGGCAATTCTGTCCTTGCCATCCATTTTTGCACGTGCAATTATAGGATCCGAACTTATTGCTACAATTAATCGAATGTGCACCACACATATTCTGGCTGCATTCATTGATATCGGTTTCGCAATCTATTCCTGTAAAACCTGCATCGCAAATACAAGCATGCCCATTCGAACGTTCTTCACAATTTCCATGTCCACTGCAAGTTACATTAACACATGATGGCGACCTTGTAAGACAGTGTGGTCCAGTAAAACCCTTTGAACAATTGCACTTATAACTACCTGGACTATTTAAACAATTGCCATATTTGCAAAGCTTGAACGGACCTTCACATTCATTCATATCTACCGAACAATCATTTCCCGTCCAACCATTTGGGCAGTCACATCTGTAAGAACCAGGTTTGTTCTCACAAAGCCCACCGTTTTTACATACAGACTTAGCACATTCATTGATATCACTGTCACATGTTCTACCTGACCAGAATTTTGTACAATTACACATGAAATCATGGGCACTTTGTTGGCAGGTTCCGTTATGTTGACAATGGATATTGTCACAACGGTTTCTTATTTTTGTTTCACAGTAGTTACCAGTATAATTTAAAGAACACATACAAAAAAATTGCGATCCTCCAATATCTAGGCAAGTACCATTGTTTAAGCAATTAATACCTGCGCATGCCCCAACAATAGTCGCGCACTGATTCCCTCCATAGCCTAGGGCGCACGTGCAGGAATAATTTCCGACATGATTGTGACATTGGCCGCCATCATGACAAGGTTGGGAAAGACACTCATCTATGTCTTCGCTACATGTAGTTCCTTGAAAACCTTTGTGGCAAGTACATGTTTCAATCCCATTTATTGTACGAGCATCGCCATTTTCACATTGATTCTTTTCATTACAATATTTACCTGTCCAACCTTCTATACATTTACACCTAAAGTCTTCTTTCTGAGATTCATCAACTATACAAGTTCCTTGAGAACATGGATTTGGATCACATGATGGAACTTTGTCTTCCGTGCAAATAAACCCGGTCCAAAGAGACGAACAATGACAATTGAATGCACCGTTTGTATTTTGGCACGTGGCATTGTTCTGGCATATGTGTAATGCACATTCATCAACATCTTGCTCACAAGAAGACCCTGTGTAGCCGGGATCACAGGAACAGTTAAACCCATTGTTAGGCAAAAGTGTGCATTTACCCCCGTGTTTGCAAGGATTTGGACTACACGCATTTAAAGATATTTCACATTCGTCACCGTACCATCCTGGAAAAAATGAAAGTCCTTTTTTACTTAATATTCAGGTGCAATTTACATTGGACATTAATAAAAAGAAAACAACTGCCAAAACAAAGTCTTTATATTGCATTTTGTATTATGGTTTCATTTAACGTATTGTTTAGTTTTAGAGTATACTATTGTTTGTAAAAAGTATATAATACCCCGTTCATCCCCCTTTGCCCATTCGAACACTGTGTTCCACGTTCCAAGGCAGTGCACCATTGTATTTGGGCAAATGCTCAATTGTAAGAAAGTTAATTTAATATTTATATAATATACAAAGTAAGAAGATGTCATTAAATAGAAATTTATATCAAGTTAATTTGGAGAATGTATTTAATTCTAACTACTGGAAGCAGTAGCATACCTGGATCACACCTGTCGGTGCCATGATCAGCATGGCATAAAGGACCTGAGTGTCCTGGTGCACACCAAAATAACAATCTCAAAGTTATCCTGCAAGTAAAAATAGTATATCTCTAATTCTGATAAGTTTTTTTGACATAGAAAAACATTTTCAATTCAATTAAAAAAATAATAATACAGAATATATGCATCGTTTTCTAGGTATTGTAGTTATATATCTAAATATGTTACAATAATAAAGTAATTAATAACTTACGATGCAATATTACTGATTTTAACATCAAAACTCTTTGCATGTGTTACATTCGGTCCAGGCTGAACTGTAATATTCTTGGTAAGAACATCTATAATGTCTGACGCACTTCCATTTAAATCACTATCTTTGACGAGTACTTTGATCGATGTTTGATTCTGTTAAATTAACGAGAATGTTTATAATGATGGTATGTCTAATCACTTACTATGTAGTTAGACTGCTTCCTGCAATACAAACTTTAGTGATAAAATAAATCTTAATTAATTGATTTATTTATTGATTAATTTGAAATATCCTACTCAAGCAATTAAAGTAAAATATACATACTTTGCTCATCACACTTGTTGTATTTTATTTAACATTTAATATATGATGTTTAACCTTATTTCATTTGCATTTCTGATGATCTTTTCTTCATGATAAATAAGTTAGACAAATGTATTGAATATGTATTGAATAGCTTTACCTTAGTAAGACGGAATCCTCCAATCATTGGATGTGATACACTTGCTTTGTTATTAGTAAGGTCTAGCAATGTTGGTCCACATGTTGATATAGAACTAGTGTTTACAAATGTAGGGGAAATTGTCACTGCTCCAATACAGTCATCTTGCAGGATTCTTGTGTAAGGAAAAAAAGCAAGACATAAAATAAAGTCGGTTTAATAGAAAGATAATTTATGATTAATTTTAAAATCTCGAGTTGATCACCATAAGCGAAATGCATATTATTTTACTAAAATGACATGTTCTGTGCAATTTATAAATGTTAAGATCACAACAAAATAATTTATATTATTTCTTTTAATAACACAGTAAGTTTGATACATACTCTCCGATACAAACCGACACTTGTAGATCACATAGATCTGTAGCGAATTCGCAATGTTCGGTCTTTGGTTCATCACAGCACCGTCTGGCACCGCTGGTTAAATCACCGTTGTATGAGGTACCCTTTGGATTTGCTAATGTTTTTATTTCCACTCCAATGTAAATGTTTGAAATGATATGCTGAAAATAATTACTTAAATGTACAAAACAAAAATGATTCAAGAATAGTTACATCTTATTATAACATGTCGTAAATGTAATTTCAGTAAGAAATTTGGAATCAAAGTCTGAAGAAAGAGTAATATTTTTTAACATCTGGAGAAAAGTGATCCCTCGGAAGCATAAAAACAGCAAAATTACATGAAAATTGCAGACTCGGTTTGATTGAGTCTCTAGATGAGGTATGCCCCGGTAATGAATAAGTGCAACATCCCTAGCACCGGCTTGAGCGATACTCAATTCTCAACACTTAAAAGTGCTGGACCCAAAGATCTCGAATGACCAGAAAAATGTAACAACATTGAGGTGAAGTACGGGGGAACTTTTCAGGTCTACATTTTTTACTATGGAATCTTTTTTCAAACTTGCCTGTCATCAACAATGAAGGAAAAATTGTAAAATACTATTTGTTACGTCATGGGTTTATGAACGACATAAATATATATGTGCTCTAACTACGTTTATTATCTAAACTATATTATATGATACATGTGTTTACATATCAGTGTCCGTGATGGTAGTATATTAAGATCTAGGGAACTCTCTATTATAAAGAAGCTGTACGCACCTAGAGTATCATGTTACAGCTTACTCATCATGCTACATCTTCCATCTTTTACAAAATTACTGTTATATTTAAACATAATTTTATATAAAGTATAACCGCATAGATTATTTGAATAACGCTTAAATAAATTCAAGGAAGAAAAACTTTATATTAGATGATGATTACAGTAACATGTAGTTAATAAATGTTCATTATCATGAGTCGTTTATAACATGTACTAATCATGATTAATACTGTAAATTTCTTCATTACAAACAATCACTGTCTATTTACAAGTCTATTACAGCACGTGGCTTCACCTTTCTGCCTGCGCGAGTGAAATAATTAGCATTATCCGGAGGATTCAAAACCACAGGCTGTTTATTGCTATCGGTACGCTATGACCCTACGTTAATCATTCTGTCATTAACTGACATTTCAAGGCCAGAATTCAAAGCACCATGTGTCAATAAAGGTGATTCTTTAGATTTCAACAAATCTTTACGATTTCTGCGATATTGTTGTCCGTTTTCTGTTTCAACAATATAGGACCTATCGCTGTGATTTTTAATTACAACAGCGGGACTCCAGGACTTGTCTAGACGTTGAATTCTAGCGGGATCTCCAACATTTAAGGGAGACAGAGGTTTAGCATTTTTATCATAGTAATGCTTAGATTTGACCTTGGATTCTGCGATTTTTTGTTTGACAACATCTGGGGGCGGTACCCGTGGTATAAGGTTTTCCCTTACAGTGGGAAGGATAGAACGAAGTTGTCGTGATTGGACTAACTGCGCTGGACTGAAATTTCCTATATCAGCGAGAGGAGTAGAACGATATTCTAAAAATCCTATTCTCGGATCAGAATTATCATCTTTTGCCTTTCTAAGTATACGTTTGGCAACTTTAACCATCGCCTCAGCCAAACCATTTGTTTGGTTATGATATGGACTACATTTTACATGTACAAAATCCCATGACTTTGAAAACTCCTCAAATTCTTGACTAGAAAAAGTGACTATTTTCTCACATATGCCCCAATGTGACATGATATTTTTCATGTGGGAAATAACAGTTGAACTTTTTATGTTTGAAAGTTCATGAACTATGGGATACCTAGAATAGTAGTCGGACATGACCATGAAATTTTTCTCATTAAGTGAGAACAAGTCACACCCTGCAATTTGAAACGGATAGTCTGGGATTTCAGAGCTGATTAATGGCTCCTTCTGTTGCGATGACCAGACAAATCTGACATTGATTTACCATTGCAATTATATCATATGAAATTCCCGGCCAAAACATTATTGACCTTGCTCTACTAAGACATTTCTGCGCACCCAGATGACTGGAATGCAGCACCTTTAACATTTCAGATCTGAGTGACCTGGGCATGACGATTTTTTCTCCTTTCATTATTAAACCATTAACCTCAGATAACTCATCCCTATAGTTCCAAAAGGCTGCAATTAACTGATGACAAGCCTTTTTGTACTTAGGCCAACCAAACTTTATTGTTTGTTGTAATGTACATAATTGTTCATCTTGTTTTGTGTGTAACCTGATTTCCTCAAGTTTTCTATCTGACACGGGTAAAGATGAGATAACCATGCAAACGTGTGCCTCAATACCCTCATTAAGTTCTGGGCTTGTTTCCGGACTGGCGTTTTTGCTAAGTCCATCTGCTAATGGGATTTTCTTACCGGACATGTGACGAAACTGAAACCTATATGGAGTTAATTTCAAGACTAAACGCTGCAACCTAGCAGGTATTGAATGCATAGGCTTTTTTCAGCAAATCCCTGTATAGGGAGATGGTCATTTTTCTACAATGACATCACGGCCATAGCAGTACTGATAAAATTTCGTAAATCCAAAGACAATAGATAATAATTCTTTAGAAATTTGACCCATATTTCTCTGTGATTCAGTTAAGCTACGGGACGCAAATGCTATAGGACGTTTTTCCTGAAGGATTACTGCCCCTAAAGATTTTGAAGAAGAATCAACTTGCAATGTCAAGGGATTTGTTGGGTCATAATAAGCTAAACATGTGTCCTTACAAATGACTTCTTTCATTTTTTCAAAGGAATGACTTTGAGGCTTTTTGCCACGTGAATATAGTGTCCTTATGCAATAACTCTCTCATAGGAGCGGTAATCTCTGATTAAATTGTCAGAACATAACGACTGAGATAATTTTAACCCTCGTGCCTAATACCACCTGTAGTTCAACTTTTGAGGATGTGGTGGTTTCTCATATCCTTTTAAATGGCCCTCAAATTTTTGGCGGGATCCGGCCTTTAAGCCTTCCTGCAGTTTAAACACGTGAACCAAAATAACACTAAATCCTCGGTGAGACCTGCTTCCACTTTCTGAAATTCGAAAACGAATGCCTTTGTTTAAAGCACGTTCAAGGACAGCTACTTAAAATTTTCGGTCATGACTTTCCCTCGTGGAACCCCATACACAAAATATCATCAACAATTGTAGCTAGCCCCTTCGAGGACCTATCAGTGCCTACCTTCAAGGGCCGCGAAAACCCAAAAAATTCACCTGATACGTTTAATCCGTTACCTGGACATCGAAGATACCTGAAGACCCCCAATGGACTGTTAAATGCAGTCAAATATGACGACTCTTCAGATAATTGTATTGACCAGTAAGCACTAGTTAAGTCCAATTTAGTGAAATACTTTGCATTACCAAACTTATGTAATACGTCATCAAGTGTTTTGAGCGGGTAGAGTGTACGCTTAATTGCACTATTCAGCGAACGAGGGTCTAAACAAAGACGTATATCGCCATTACTTTTTTCAGTAACAACTAAATTATTACACCATTCAGTGGGTGTTGAAATCTTAGCAATTACTCCCATTTTTTCCATTCTTGTAAGTTCCTGTTTCACTTTATCTTGTAAAGCAACTGGAATCCTACGGGGAGGATGAACAACTGGTGTAGCATTTGGGTCAACATGAATGTTACATTCCCCGGGGAGTAAAATATGATAAACAAGATCAACAAGGAAAGGCGGCGTTCAATGAACCCTATGACATCAAAAACCTGGGCATAATCCGTCAAAAGGGACTCTTTAGTAAGAAATGCCTCTTTATTTCTATGATTATAATCATTTTGTACAGAATGAGTAAATTCTATGAGCTTAAAGCCCAAGCACGACTCGCAACCTAATAGTGGTGGGGATTTCGTGTCTACGACATGAAACGTGACATTTTTTGCTTGACCTGAAACAGCATGAGAACAAGGGAGAGTGATTTGCCCTTTGCTATGCAAGGAATTGCCATTGTAGGCGGTCAATTTAGATGTGGGCTTTTCAAGTGGTGCCTTGATTCCTAAACCTTGAAAGGTAGATAATGGCAAAATGTTTACCTGAGAGCCAGTGTCTAACTTCATTTGCACGGCCTTTTTACTATATCCAATTAATATTTCTGTAAACATCTGCCCATTTTTTACTGTTACACAGTCAAGACTGTCCACATTTTCTACACAGTCAATTTATAATTCAGAACTTAAATTTGAAATTTCATTCACTGTTCTAGATTTACAAACATTGCTCCAGTGGTTCCATTTTTTACAATTGTTACATTGTGTGCCTTTTGCTGGACAACGCTGCTTGTCAATATGTTGATTTCCACATTTGTTACATTTTGTACTGTGTGACCGTTCCCCAGTGCGACCTGGATTGCTTGATGTTTCTGTATATCGACCTGGATTCATCGATGAAGGGTTCCGAGACGAACGACCTTGGATGCCCGATGAACGGCTAGGCATCCGTCCCTTCGGTCTTGATACTGCATGTACCGGAGCACTTTCTTGGACGTTATTGAACATTTTTATTTGAGATGCAGCATATTCGAATTCCTGGCAAATTTTTGTTGCCGTGTCTAATTTCAGATCTTTCCCTACTTGCAAAAGCCTTTCTCTCAATTTCGTGGATGACACACCAAATATAATTCTATCTCTGATCATGTCATCTTTCATTGTTCCAAAATCACACTCTGCAACCTTGTTTTTTATTATTGTGATGAATTGTTCCATAGTTTTTTCGCCTTGTGTGATATTATTGAATTGATAGCGGCTAAATATTGGGTTAATTATGGGAGCGATGTGTTCTCGGACTTTTTGGAAGATCTTTTTTGTTTCTTTTCTATCTGCATTAGATAAATTGGCGGCTCTATATATTTCTCTTCCCTTGGAACCCATATAAAGCAATAGCATTGTAACATGGACATCTTCTTCTTGCTCTTTCAAGGGTCCTTTAAATACTAATTCACAGTGCTCTTGAAATTTTGCGAATTCTTCTACAAGATTGGTTGATGTCCAGTCCATTTGAGGTTGCGGGATACCACTTAAATTCATTTTTTTATAATATTCCAGCACTTAAGGAAATGTTAATGTAATATTCCAACAAGAAGGAATTATAGTTTATGTCTGTCCTTTTTTAAAGAATGTTTAGCACATTTATTAATATTCCGTCATTAGGAATGATTTTCCTTTTTATATAATATTCTTTCCTTAGGAATTATAATTATACTATTTAAAATATTCCGTCTTTAAGAATTATTATCTTTCCAGTTCTGACACCATGTTATGTCATGGGTTTATGAACGACATAAATATATATGTGCTCTAACTACGTTTATTATCTAAACTATATTATATGATACATGTGTTTACATATCAGTGTCCGTGATGGTAGTATATTAAGATCTAGGGAACTCTCTATTATAAAGGAGCTGTACGCACCTAGAGTATCATGTTACAGTTTACTCATCATGCTACACTATTCATATTAAAATACACAACATGCCTTAACGAAAAAATTATTAATTCAGAAAATATGACATTGTGACATTTTGCATTTCCGTGTCATCTATTTTTTTTTGAATATTTTAAAAACTTAATTTACCGATTGAATACATTATATTTCATATCTTTCAAAGTGGAATATCATAAATATATATTTAACATTTTATAAGCAGATAAAAACTGGGAAAATTCAAACGTGCTTCAAGGTCTTAAATATTTTGAAGTTTTCCACTGTTTTGGAGTTTGGACAGAAAGTGACAACAAATGTGAGTATTTTTGAATGAATAAAAATAGTTTTATTTCTTACGAAGTATTCAAGTGATTTGAGCCGTGTCATGACAAAACCGACATAATGGGTTTGCGACCAGCATGGATCCAGACCAGCCTGCGCATCCGTGCAGTCTGATCAGGATCCATGCAGTTCGCTATCATTTTCTCTACTTGTAGTAGAGTTGGTAAGCGAACAGCATGGATCCTCATCAGACTGCGCGGATGCGCAGGCTGGTCTTGATCCATGCTGGCCGCAAACGCACTATGTTGGTATTGTAGTGACGCGGCTCATTTACCTCTCCGTATCCGGTAGGGCTCACAGCTGGTCCGGTTATAACACCGTTGTTGAAATAATTCTTGAGGTTAGAAGGTTTTTGGAGCTTCAAAACTGAATCAAACACGAGAGGTGTTATTTGATGATTCCCACAGTCAGCTATGAACGTGAACGTATTACTGAAATCGTGCAAAATTAAAAGTTGTTTGTAGACATTTAGACTGACTGACGAGTTTTGATATTGTAACAATGGCTCCGGGTGGATTTCCCCCAGTTGTTGGTAAATTACATCGCCATTTCAAATAGATCCCAGACTTTTCGGATTCTAATAAGTTTAATTTTCTATATAATCATAAAATGGACAACATATTTTCCTACACAGAAAAAAAAGAGAAAGAAAGTTTGCACCTGCATGTCATAGACTAAGATTGAGTCAATTGAAAAAAAAAACATTTGTTTTTTATATTTTAACCTTTTTTCTGGTTGCTTTCCTTAAATACAGCAATATATAAGTTTAACATATCAACATTTTTATGAAACTCACGTGTTTGTGTCAAGAGCTGGATACTGTAAACTGAGTTGCTCTCCTGAACAAACTTTATCTTGCATAAATCTGTGAGCATTCAAATCTATATCCGGTAATTGATCTTTCTTTGTCTGGTTTTTGAATTCAAGTAATAGAGCATCTGTCGAGACATAACGAACAATATATGAGCCGCGTCATGACAAAACCAACATAATGGGTTTGCGACAAGCATGGATCCAGACCAGCCTGCACATCCGCGCAGTCTGATCAGGATCCATGCTGTTCGCTATCAGTTTTTCTACTTGTTAAAGGGTCTGTAAGCGAACAGCATGGATCCTGATCAGACTGCGCGGATGCGCAGGCTGGTCTGGATCCATGCTGGTCGCAAACCCACTATGTTGGTTTTGTCGTGACGCGGCTCACATACATTTCAACCACGTGATGTAACATTACCATTGATATAATTGACCCAAATATTCACGTTTAGTATTCTCTTTTGTTATTTTTGCAGATCTGATAGACCAGATATTTATTGAAAAACTTTAAAACCATTGATTTAATGAGATTTTTTTTGCAATTTTGTTTACGACTTTGTTATAATAAACAAATTACTAATTATAAAAAGGTGACCATGTAGACTACAAGTTGAAAACTGTTCAGTATATATATATTCTTATACTACCAAAAATCAGTAAAAAACTGCAATAATTGCACATTATTGATCTCAAGTTCTTGCATGACTTATGAACGTAATAAGATAGCAGCAATAACTCAAGACTATAAACACACAACCTGTTCTTTATTAAAAGCATTTTACATGACTTATGAGGGACAATCTTTTCCTTCAATGCATTTTGATCAACTCTCTATATTAACTCTCTATATTAACTATTGATTTTTACAATAATAACATTGTCTAAAAGATGATGTTGCAAGTGCGATGTCTACGTTTTTAAGAAAACGTTATTCGTGATTTGTTAAAACATTGTTATATTTACCTGAAGGTTGGCACGACAGTTTACCGGTGGACTCGCACACAGCCATTGGACTGATGCCTCTACAATAACTGCTACAAAACTCCCCATAATAATCTTTGTCACACCATACTGATACACTTATATTCAATCTATACACAATAAAATGATACAAACACGAATACATATACAATAAACTTTAAAACATTGCAGAAAAAATTAATTGTGTAAATGTTGTAAACGACATCATTTCGATGACGAATATCATTTTAATACTGATATTACAATGATTTAATCAAACCACACGACTATGTTGTACTCATATATAAAGTTAGCGTTTCTTTTTACAAAAACGGAGAAATCAACAACCGCTCTGAAAGTGATTTATCCAAAAATATGATAACAACATAACTTGTATAAGATGACTGAAATCATTTTGGCATACATTTGTATATACATGTATAAATAAAATATAATTATAATAAATAATTTTATTCGGTAAAAGTGTACATGACATGGCAATGACATAATGATGCATAATGATACAATACATATAACAATAATCAAAATATTAAAGAGACTAGAAATATCACATGACATAAGTATACGACAAAATATAAATATATGAGCCATGTAGTGCCCACCAATACCAGGGATAACACAAAAAAAGTGGAAAGGATTCCTCTTATTTCTATTGTGGTCCCTGACATTGGAGGCATGACACAGAAAGTCATGTTAATTTGTATGAAATTGAAATAAATTCTTTTACTAATAAGGCATAAATTGCAATAATTTAGTTGAGATCACAATATATCACAGTCCAAGTTTGTATCACATTAAAATCACAGTTAGTTCATATTGTATCACATCAATAAATCATGAAATAGTGCATCACAGAAATTGTCAGTCAAACTGTAAAAATTTAATAAAAATATTATAAAACGTTAAATGTGCAAGCTAAAAATGGGTAAATTACTAAAGGACACAACATATGTGTGTTGTGCTTAAACTTAAGAATAAGTAAAATCTGGGACTCTATTAAGACTATTAAAAGATTCAAATACTATTGAAAAATAAACTAAAATTAACTGGCCATTAAATGGGTTTTGATGGCATGCTTGAAGGTGTGGGAAGATTGAATATTTCTAAGATTTTGAGGAAGGCCGTTCCATAGTGAAATACCATTAAAAGTAAAAGATTTTCTACCAAAGCTTCCTACCTTTGGTAAAGAAAATCGTCCTGTGTCACTAAAAGAATAGCTTACACAGGAATCTGATGATGAAAGTGCAGACACTCTGGACCTGGTACAGCGGTCATGGACCTGATTAAGGGGTACAAAATGCTCCTTAAGGTATTTTGGGGCTGTGTCAGACTTTATTTTATGGACATGGCAAAGAGTTATCTGATCAACTCTTTTGGAGACCGGTAACCAGTTAAGAACCTTAAATTGCTCTGGCCCAACATGTGACCTGCTGTCCTTATTCAAAACAAAACGAACCAATTTATTCTGGGTTGTTTGGAGCCTTTTCTTCCAATACTGAGTCAAACTTGGGTACCAAAAAGAACAAACATAATCAAAATGGCATTGAATTAAGGACATGACCAAGAGTTTCCTAGTGTGGAGATCCAAGAATTGACTTTTCCTATACAAGTATTTCAGCCGGGCATTTGCTTTCGTAACCACTGACCGTGCAATTTCTTCACAGGAAAGGTTCTGGTCCAAAGTTGCACCGAGATATTTAACTGAGTTGGTAGCCTGGATATTTATACCATTACATGAAATATTTAAATTGCCTTTTGACCTTAACCTTGGTTTTGAACCAAACAGAATAAATTCTGTTTTGCCAAGATGGAGTGAAAGCTTGTTATCGACAAGCCATTCACTAACATACTCCATCTCAAGTGATAAAAGAGATTCAATGTCGGAAGTACTTTTACCACACACAAGAATCCCAGAGTCGTCGGCATACAATAAAAGTTTGTTTTTAACAACAGCCGACAGATCATTAACATAAATTAAAAATAGAAGGGGGCCCAATATTGATCCTTGGGGTATCCTTGGCTGGAATAAACACCAGATACCTGAACTAACTGTTGCGTATCTGAAAGATAAGATTGAAACAATCGGACAGCATCAGAACTGAGGCAAATTGCATTCAGTTTCATTAATAAAATACTATGATTGACCGTGTCGAACGCTTTCTGCAAATCAAGGAGAACCATTCCCACCATGTTACCTTTATCCATTTGAAATTTTACAAAATCAGATAAATGGATAAGACACGTGTCTGTAGAAAAACCGCGTCTAAAACCGGACTGAAAACTGTATAAAATCTTGTTCTTACTCAAATACCCTTCCAAATATATTTATGTGCTGCTGCTAAAGCACCTGACCGAATGTTGGGACTAAACAAAAACAAGCCATTATTTACGTTTTGAGGCCAGATTTGTAACAAATATGTTAAAAAATTGCAGTTATTTTTAAAAATCATTTATTTGTTAAATATTATGGTTATAATAAAAGCGCAGTTGAATAAATGCCCTTATATCTAGGTTCCTATAAGCGCAATTTAGCTCAGAGAATATCTCGTAGTTGATACTGCTTGTCTCTAAACACATAAAACATTATGCTTTTACACATTATACAAATAATTATTATGGTTTGTTTTTAAGACTCACACAGTTACATCATGCTTTATCAAATTTACAGTCTCGCCACGAAGTTAAATAATCATCTCATGCTTTGTCGGGAGACGACTGTCGTAGTTGTCTCCCATTATCTTCATTTTATCTCTGTTCTGATTTAAATCAAAAGATAACATACTTTCTTCTCCTTTTATTTTGTTTATCATATTGTACATTTGATTAAACTCAATATTGTCACCACGTTCATTAAAACCTTTACTGAAAACTAAGAATTTTCAGCATACGTGATAATTCATTTGTGTTGATTTCCGTCCATTTAATTTTTTTTTACCCAACCCCCCCGCCCAAAAAAAAATAAATAAAAAAATGAGAATTTATAGACCAGAAATGCCTGAATGCATATAACGTTTAACGCGAGTGATTATCAGTGATATAATTATGATAAAATCCAAAATTTAGACTAATGAAACGATGATTATCTTCACCTGTCACTGTCCGAGACTACTCATATATAACATTGAAAAGAAAGAACGCATTTAAATAAGACACCACAAGAAGCAGATATATGAAAGTTCATAGGTCTACTTGTTCCACCTCATTCAAATAAGGCTTTGTTAAGTTTTATAAGGGGATGATTAAATATGATAATATGATAATTCTTAGACTTGCCTTATTTTACCTTGCCATTCAAATGGATAAAACTCGGACTAAGTTTGGTCAGGGTATGGTAAGAATGTATCATACTTCATACCAGTAGACTTACCTTGCTCTACCTTGCCATGCAAAGGGGTAAGGTTGGGACGATGTTTGGTCAGGAGATGGTATGAATTTTATCTCGTCTATTAACGTGTCAATGTGCTCATGTTTCTTGATAACTGGTGTACCAAATGAATCATCGTCTCTTATAAACACAAATATACTCATACCCTGTAGTAGATGGACACAGATAAATACGCTATTAATTAGATGTGTACGAGTAAACTTGATATGAAATGTATAATTATATGCTGCCAACAACAACTAGTTATACTTACTTTTGGATGGATATATGTTCATTTCTAAAGCATGCACAAATTGCAGGAATATATTGTATGAAAGAATGACATGTTCACCATAAAAGTTGCGATTTACAGATACATTTCGAGATAAATTCCATACACGTATATAAACTTTTTAATCTTTCATACTACTCATATGTAACACGATTTTTCTTCGGCTTCTCCTCATATTTAGGCACTGAGAAATTCTATCATCACCATTAAAACATAAGATAGTGCTAGTCATAGATCTATTATGTGATGATAGCAAACAAAGTCTTGTAACTTACAGGTCCCCAGAAATCCGATTTACTCTCCATCATGGATAGATTACTAATGGTATTTGTATTCTGTAATGGTTTTGTTTGGAAGAAAGCTCCTTTGCAACCCCAATCAGGCTCCATTCTGAAAGTAACATATAAATCTACCAATAAAAAAGATATAAATATAAATCGTTTCTTTTTAAAATAACCGTAAGTAGTTGTTTTATAGGTCATATCTATCCACTGAATTCTAAGAAAATATATCGATGTTTGTTTTCTTTCATTTTTTTTCAAGTACCCTGAAGGAACCCCACTGAGTTCTAAAAGACTAAAAACATAAAATTGAATTTTCTTATTATAGATCTGCACTAAACAGAAATATTTGCAAAAGATAATTGAAATATACCCAGAAATAAATGGAAAATCGTATTTTAACCAGTGTTAATTTGATTTGAGTGATAAACGTTGCAACAGTCTTAATGTTGGGTCGCTTTTCACAATTAGAATAAATATTCTAGTAAAACGATGAGTGAATGATCTGACTTTTGCACACAAATTATTGATCTGGACCTACATTTATTGGATCAATTATCCCTTCATGTCAAAAAATCGGAGTGGATTCTCTTTAAAAAAATCCTATTTGTAAAACTTATATCTGTAGAAAGATGTAAAATGTCAGTCAAGTATCTGCACTATACTTTTGATGGCTGACACAAACACTGATATTTTACCAAACACACAAATTATTGAATTGCGAGCTTTATCATGATATTTCGAAATGCAGAATTATCTTAAATAAAAACTGTAAATTCAAAATTCATAAAGTTCTCTGATGAATATACGTTTAAGTGAAGATTTTTAAAGAAGAACGACTGCTAATGAATGTATGATAAATATCAGTGTTTGTTAGAATGTACCGAAATTCAACTTGTTAAAGATTTATTCTAAACATTGAGACATCAATTTTAGCTTTAAACCACGTTTTCCCAAATATATTAGGAAAATCAGGAAGGTATATATGCGTTCCTGGTAAATCAGGTGTTAAAAGATGACATTGCTAACGATAAGGTTATATGACATTTGAGCCGCGTCATGACAAAACCAACATAGTGGGTTTGCGAAGATTTTTAAAGAAGAACGACTGCTAATGAATGTATGATAAATATCAGTGTTTGTTAGAATGTACCGAAATTCAACTTGTTAAAGATTTATTCTAAACATTGAGACATTAATTTTAGCTTTAAACCACGTTTTCCCAAATATATTAGGAAAATCAGGAAGGTATATATGCGTTCCTGGTATATCAGGTCTTAAAAGATGACATTGCTAACGATAAGGTTATATGACATTTGAGCCGCGTCATGACAAAACCAACATAGTGGGTTTGCGACCAGCATGGATCCAGACCAGCCTGCGCTTCCGCGCAGTCTCATCAGGATCCATGCTATTCGCTTACTAACTCTATTACAAGTTGAGAAACTGATAGCGAACAGCATGGATCCTGATCAGACTGCGCGGATGCGCAGGCTGGTCTGGATCCATGCTGGTCACAAACCCATTATGTTGGTTTTGTCATGACGCGGCTCATTTTATTATTGCTCTCATAGAGAATAAATTAAACGTACATGCCCACACAAATGTCGAAATATGTATCACACGTATCGCCCGTCTGACAATTTGATCTTTGCGGCCCATCACAACACTTTCTGTTTGATGTACTATCGGCGTAACATGTTCCATTGGGGTTTGAAAAGGAGTGTATAGTAACACTGACAATAACACCGGCATCACACACCTGTGTAAAAGTAAGTTGCAACTAGTAAATGGTAAAAACATGTAAATTAGGCATTTGTTAAAACTGACTATGGATCAATTTTAAATATTATGATAGTACATATATATCAACTTAAAGGTTAATCTTATCTAATTCTTTGTAAATCATATAGAGTATACTTTAGCTAATAATCATATAATTATATCACTGACAATCACATGTCACTTGAATTAAGCATTCTTAATTATGACTAGGCAATTATGAATTATATTCCTTTTCTTTCAGACATTCAATTGCAGAAACTACAAATGCACTTGTTCATCAACGAGCTTTCCCGCAGGTACAAAACATCAATAACTGCAACAAAGGGAAAGAAAAAAAACATGTGGATAAAAAGACAATTTGTGGTGTCTAAAACGTTCATATTTTGTTAAATCGTTGATCAATTAGTACAAAAATGTGCTCAAAAATGTTTTGCTACTGTCATGTGCTCTATGTATTCTTTTTTTTTCGATGTTATTGTAATACTATACTAAGTTGCAAAAGAAAATGTGCTCTTGGTAACAGAAAATTTTTGTGAACTTTTTAAAGCAATTTATTGGAATATTTGGTATTAAAATATGCAGAAATATATTGACTACACGATGGATAAAATGCGTTTTGCCTTTGGATACTCGAATATTTGTATGGAGTATCATTCAATGACAAGTCCATATGCCGTTATGTCAATTTCATCCAGTCTCGAACACTTTTGTTGATCCATTTATGAAATGGACACAACAGACACTGGGCAAAAGCGTTTAAAAATCACAATTCTGGAATCAAAACTTCTTGACTTTCCGCTATTAACACGAAGCCACATTTTTCTTAAATATAAATTATAAATTACAAAAAAAGTAAACCATTGTGTGGTCAATTCTAATTGTGATACATAATTTGTCAATAATGTCAAATGAGTAAAATACCAAAGTAAATAAATTTGTATGCAAATGAGTGTAGAGTAAGTCAAAAACAATTAAGTAATTCCACATTTTCTCATTAATTCCGAAGGAATTTGCCTATCATAGTTTGTGTTAATATTAACTACGGTCCAAACAAAATACGATATTTTTATGTGAACATTTCTGATATCTGAATGGTCATGCAATTTTTGAATTAGTAGAGGTTCAGATCCAGATCCTGAACTGTGATAGTATAATGATGCTTTTTTAAATTTCCTGTTCAACTGTAGTTATCAGTTTAAGGGACGACTGGAAGAAAAAGTACCTCATATATGTTCTGATTTTTCCCCATCTTAATTATAACTACAGCTTTAGATTTTTAGGTGATTGGAAAACAACCTTGCTGCTTAAATTAATACCATTTTGTATTTTACGTTTGGTACGTTTTGAAAACAGTGCAAAAGTTATATTCAGTTGAAGTATAGTTCGTATATTATTGGTTCTAGGTGCCAAAATGGCGAGAGGTAAATGTTGAATAACTTGTCTTTCGCCACTGCGCCCTTAAATCCCACCAGGGTATTTGCATTTATAGCTGTAAGAAAGGTTACTGAAGACCGGTTGATCTACTCGGGTGTCTGTCTGTGTCTAAAAAAAGGTGGTTGGAGATGCAATTTTGAAACCATCATCAACCAGAAGCGGGACAATTGTCATGTAACATTACCAGTCAAAGATCTATTTCCTCTTACAATTGTATTTTTAATTTTCGTTTTAGTAAAATATTCATGCTGAAATATAGTTACTAAGGAAGGCCAATCAACTTTACTTTCTGTATATCTGTTTAAAAAAAACAACAATTAAATGTATTGATTATGATGGTATCGATGCGAGGGATACTTAGAAAGGTAGATCCCTCAAGAACAATGAAAACCAAGAAATATTTCTAATAAATAAATTGTTCTAGATAATACCTGAGATAGCACAATATTCAATTTTCAGAACAAAAAAGGTGTTGGAGTCAATAATCCCTGTGGACTAATAAACTATATATCATTATTTAGGTACTGTACTTGGACACTTTGAAAAACCAAAAACACAACACTAAATATCCGATATATTTTTGTGGGCATAAATATGTATGGTCTAAAATAGAGAGATTCTTTGAAGATAACGATAACACCGGATTAAATGAACTTTTTACACTCTGGGTTAGAATTAAACAGGACAATGTAAGAAAGTCCGATGGATTGGTTTAAACAAAGTCTGTTAACTAAGTGTTGTGGACTTACTTGATATACATATGTAAATTGATAATTGAAAACTTTGTTTTTCTTTTGGCAAAGAGTAAACTTATATTTGTTTTACTTTAGGTTATTTATGCTGTTATTATGAATCCAGATAAAGTAAACATTTAGTATTCGGTATTGAACCAAATTATAGCTACATTTTAAATATTGCTTTGAAATTGACCTCCCAACATATTTAAACGGTTCATTACCATATAACAAAATATTTTTCTTCACTTGACAAAAAGTAATGAATAGAAGGAAAATAATTATCACCCAAAAATTTAAATTTTGTATCATAAAGAAAATGTTTTAGAAATGTTTTTATTTTTTTTTGCAAGATTTTAAACATTCTACCGCAAATAAGATAAATAAAATTCTAAATTTTACGTGGCCATTTTGTAACAGAGATAGGCCATGAGGAGTACTTTTACATGGGTCAAACTGACACTGTTAAAATTTATTTATTAGTTCCCTGTATTTTTTTTTTCAAATTTAGGAAAGTTAGATAATTTGTAGACTTGAAACATGAAAATAGTGTCATTAGTACAATCCAGGAGACTTAAATCAAATTACTTTTTGTAGATTTAATGTGTATCCTAACTTTATAATATGTTTAGTTCAATAGATACGTATAAAAAGGAGGTGATATATACCATGGAATGATAGTAAATTAACTGTTTAAAGTGGTTCTGATAAGCTAAATAAATTTAATTCATATTTATAGCATCATTTAAAGTATTCTATATATAGTACTGTCATTAGAATACGTAAGTAGAGTAACAACAAAAATAAAAAATATAGAAGAATTCAGTTACCACAGACAAATTTACACACACAAAAATTTAGGTCAAATACATTTAGGCTACCCACATTTTAATACTATTCTTTGTGTTTTAGAACCAACTAACCTATATGAAGAACATTCAGCAAATTAACTTACCTTTATAAGAATCAAACACGAAAGAATCAATCTCATATTAACATCCATGGTGAGTGTAAGACAAAAAGATTTGTAAATGTTAAATCATGTGACACATGTGATTAAATAGTAGTGATGTTAGTTCAATTTAACACTCATGTATACGATTTCATCGAGTGTTCAGATTAATTATAGTTAAAAAAAATTTAACTTTTTTTCTTTAACTTGCTTTTGTTATATATGTTTGAAAAACGCAACTGTCCTATTTCCCGATAAAAATGAGAATTAGAACTAAATATATGCATAGTTGATAGACGTACATGTATATAATCTTGATATGTGAAGATAAAAATTGTTATTCAATCCATTGTTTATTATCAACTCATACTGTAAGTAACAAATACGGTAGTCACTGTTTAATGTTGTATTAATTCATTGTATTATCAGGTATCATATAAACGTTTCAAACAACTTAACTTACTCATTTAACCTGCTGACTTTTGTGACTAAATTTTCCAAGGTTTTGGAACAATCCAAACAAAGTTTTGTCTGGATTTCAATATTAAGATACAAAACTTGAACTGCCAACATTACACAACCTGTTCAGATTGCATGGATGTACATGCTGACCTGTTTCTATCAAGGGCTAATACCATTTCTTATCCAGCTGACTCAGTGTCAAGGTTCATTGCAATATTCATTGAAAATATGTAGAAATATATATTTTTTAGATAAGAAATAATGTAAATTAACTTTGCAACAAGAGTTTCTGGCAGTTACTGGTATCCTAATTGCCGTCATATGTTACATATAAACCTGTATCAACATTTTCTATTATGTCTATACCTACTAGTATTTCTCTTCAAGTTCTTCATTCTCACCTATATCATGAACGCAGCCTATAATGATAATAAATATATAGGGCATATTTGTTTGTTTGTGTGTAACATGAAATTTTATTTCATCGAGTGGGCTTTAAAAACAGCAACTCGTGAGAATACTGTTTTTAAAGTTCACGAGATGAAATAAAATTACATCTTACACAACAAACAAACAAATTTTCTTTTTATTTTATACTAAAAACAAGTTAAAAGGAAATTTCCTTAATATTAACGTTAATATTAAAATCTGTTTTCCCCATTGAGAGCCTCATTTAGTCGAATTTCTCATTAAATACAAGAAGTCTTGGGCTGAAAAATAAGTTCGACAACCAACATTAAATTGCGGTGATATTATTAATTTTTATAAAAAAAATATAAATGATCGCTTGTTTTAATAATAAAAACAAACAATTCTAGTAGATGAAAAAGTCCAACCATCCATCCTTCCATATTTCTGTTACTCACTGCGAATTTGTATTAGACTTGGCTCTGTGAAATGTAAGCGGCCTCCATTTTTAAAAATTGTGTACTTCACGGTATGAAATTAATTTGTGTGATTCAGAAGTATATCATTTGGATTTGATAGTCATACAACACCTTTATAAAAGAAAGAAAACTTATTTGAGGATTGTAACAGACAATAAATAAGTGTTGACAAAAGTGTAAACATTAAAAAAGCGGCTAGGAAATTGGAAAACTTGGAGTCTTGGAAGGCTGCCTAACGAACGCTGGGTTGTGTACTTATTTTTCGGGCTGATGGCTGTCACTGCTTTTCAAGTTTCCATAAAGCATACAGCAGTTATTGCTCGTATGATACTTAAATATGGCCAAATGTCATCAAGAGCAGTTTTGCATGTGGAAGGAATGTATTTTTCAGACTGTAAAAATGAAACAAAACAAAAATTCGAGACGATATTTGGTGATGAATAGAAGTAAGTTTTCTTCTTTTTATTCCTTTCAGACATTTAAGTTATTTACCAATTTCAGTTTAACTTTTCTCTGAACAGCCTGACATTGTCAGAATATTCAGCAAAAATAAATTGAGGTACCACATGGGGGAAAATCATAAGAAAGTAGTTTCGTCATTGAAAAGTGTGAAATTATATTTTGATAATTTTCACTGTGAAATAATCAAATATAATTTTCACGGATAAATCAGTAATTCACTGAAAAGCATAAGATGAATCTGTGTATTTTGTCCTTTCTTATTTCTTTATTTACTTTTGCAACTAAATTCCAGTTATTCTCAATTCGTACTAATCATAGTCATGTTAACTTATTTCTTAGTTATCTATTTCACCTATGTCTATTCCTTAACCCCTTCTCCCTCTTTACCTAGTTCTAGTTTGTCTTTACCTATCTATTTCACACGTATCTTGGTCATATTTACAAAGTTTGTCTATCTCTCTTGTAAGCGTTTCATCTTCTCACACTTCATTTATCTATTTTATTTATCTAAACCTTAATTATTCATATTTTGTATATACAAATAACTATTTTATCGTTTCATTTGTCTTTATCAATGTAATTATATTACCAATTGTATTTTATATGACCATACCATAAAATATAATAATTCCGATATAACGATCTTAAGATTAAATATCTAGCTATCAAGTCAATAAATTTATTTCTACAATAAACAATCATAAGGAATATATTTTTGTTTTATTTGTTTTATTTTATTCATATAAAATTGTCATTTGACAAATGATATGCCCCTGTTTTTTTTTCCAAACAAATGGCATAAAATATCAAATACTAGCGCTCTTTACGTATTCATGTGTATTAGTTATTTTTCTAAGAATTATCGATACCTAAAATACATTATGGAAGTTTTCACCCGAATTGTCGTTGTTCCGAACGATCCCTTTAAAATTCAACTCTAAAAAACAAATGTTGTAACGGAGGAGGTATTTGAAAATATTCGGTGATCTTTGTCTTAATCAAGTTGTCTCAAACCAACGCTACACCGCCATTGTAATGACATGTAAACTACTCTTTTATGTCTTACTATTAAACATGTGTTTGGCTGTAAAATATAACTAACATGACTGTATTTACCTTAAAAATAAAACAGATGGATTGAATAAATAAATTGTTATTCTCGTAATTTAAATATCTAATACATAAAATATGTTTTGTTCTTTTTCTCTTTTATTGTTGATGATGTTGTTTGTTTATTGCTGCTGATTTTTTTAAAAAAAGATTCTGCTGTATGCTTAATAATGTAGTAAATGGGCGTTTACAACTTAAGTGTAACTACATTGTAATACAATGAACTTGAACGGTTTAACAGAAAGCCAAAATCAAATAATAAAAAGGAAAAAGGCTTAATGTATTAAGATTTTCCCATCATTATACAAACGTATTAATCTTCAAAAGTCTTCTTTATCGTACAAATATATCAAATTTGTTACTACTAAACTTAATTCTATCCTCTATAGCCTGAAGAAATTTATTAATTTTACGCCTCTTATTTGCTACTTATGAGAACTAATGCGGAGCAAATAATGTGAAATATTTGTTTGAAGTCCTTTTTTCTTATTAATTTAGATGAAGAATTGATCTAAGGTCAAAACATTCCATGAACAAAACGTCATGCTACATTGAAAATATCTTAAAATGTTATAATTTTGAAATTTTGTGAGGTTAATATGCTATAAACAAAAACTGTTCAAATTTTGATCGTATGAAGCTGCACTACACGGTGAATGCTCGTACCAGTTATTTGCTGTTAAATTTATTTTATTGAGATAATAATCTATGAAAGGTTGCAGTAAACATTTCAAATTGATATGATATACTTCGTATTATGAGTGCTTAATCGCTGGTTTGATGCACAGTGATTTTTCAGATTTATTTAAGATAAAGTATCCAGATATTTAATGTCTTTATTAAACAGCTAAACGATTTAATATGCCCCTATGGTATGTATTCTTCAACGAGATTGAGATATCAATCATATATATATAATTTATATATATATATATGTGTGTGTTAGCAAATAAATTTATAACAACACTACTCCATATGCTCTATCATTTTTTTTTTCATTTTGTAATTCCGCACCTGTTCGGGTATCTAAGATCAGATATGCTATAAAACCTTTAAAGGAACATATGCGCAATTAAATGTTCCGCCTAAGCTGACAAAGCTCGTATATTAAAGTCAGCTTTAAGGTATTAAGATTATTTTCTTAAGCGAGAAAGTTAAATTACTTTAAGAATGTAATCGTTACACTATATATATAATCACTAAAAATTGGAAAAACGGGACACGTTTTGTGTTAAAGTTTTCTAACTCCATGGACAACTTCTTGTTTATTTCTATTTCAATAGTTTAATTACTCGTGCTAAACTATTACAAAGTAGCAGTTGTGTTTATTTTAGATGATTTTTACCGTCATTTATCAATCCCGACAATGAGTGATGCTCGCAAATAGAAGCATAGCATATTGGGAAGATCAGTTAAGAGACCTAATGCGTCATTTTATGTGACAATAACCTTTGCTTAAATTCTGGCATGACAGTTTTTAATATGTTCATTACAATCTAAATTCTAAAGTACTATAAAAATAGCATGATGGCTAATTAGTAACTGCAATAAAATCTAATGATACTAGTAAAATAATCATTAGTTACTTTAATCCTAAATTAATGAGGATTTTTTTTAATTTTATATTTGAAGACAAAAAGCAAAACATTTGAAGATGATAATTTTAGTCTTTCGAATTCTTTTAACATTAAAATCAATGAACTAACAGTTCATGAAAGTTTTTAATTTCTTTTCAGAATTTAATTTTCAACATAATTCGACATTTCCGTGTATTCAGACAGAGAAATTTGTATTGAACATAAAATTCAAAACAATAAATTTGACTGCAGAGATTCAACACGTATCAACATAAATAAAACTTTGCTAGGGGGCATGGACGGTATACCTGCACTTGTCAGTACCGTTCAAGAACAGGCTCAAATCAAACCGATCCTGCAACATTTTCAATTTTGCCGTGTTGGACTTTCTTTAGGGATTCTGTTTTTCTCATTTTTGAAAGAAAATTTTAAGTAAATTCAGAGGATGAAACAAATTTAAACAGAAATTGGTTTATTTTCGGACTAAAATTACAGCTTTACACTCATTTAGTTTTCAGATGAAATGTTTAAATGAAGATTAATTATATACTTTAACCAAAATGATAGCCTATTGTAATACATTTAAAAAGGTACACGGTTGCCCTAGAAATTTAACTGAAACCTATTGCACGGTATGGAAATAAATTCTTCAATGAGAAGTATTTTTTGGGTCACATCAGGGTGTATGGTTTTTATCCTTAGATCATGCTTTCTATAACCTTAGAAGAAGTCCACTAG